GGGGGTGAGAAAGAGGAGAAAGGGGGGTGAGAAAGGAGGGAGGGTGAGAAAGGGGGGGTGAGAAAGGAAGTGAGAAAGGAGGGGGGGAGAGAAAGAGAAAGGAGAGGGGGAGAGAAAGAGAAAGGAGAGGGGGGGTGAGAGAGAAATTAGGAGGGGGAAGAGAAATTAGGAGGGGGAAAGAGAAATTAGGGGGGAGAGAAATTGAAATTAGAAGGGGGGGATAGAAATTGAAATTAGGAGGGGGGAAGAGATATTAGGAGGGGGAAAGAGAAATTAGGGGGGGAGAGAAATTAGGAGGGGGTGAGAGAGAAATTAGGAGGGGGGGAGAAATTGAAATTAGGAGGGGGGAAGAGATATTAGGAGGGGGGGAAAGAGAAATTGGGGGGGAGAGAAATTAGGAGGGGGGGTGAGAAAGAGAAATTGGGAGGAGGAGAAGTTAGGAGGGGTGGTGAGAAAGAGAAATTAGGAGGGGGGGAGAGAAATTGAAATTAGGAGGGGGGAAAGAGAAATTAGGAGGTGGGGTGAGAAGAGAAATTGGGAGGAGGAGAAGGAAATTGGAGAGGGAGGAGAGATTGACATTCATCACATACACACAATGCACCCCTTGCACACAGAAAAACACACAATGCATTACACACACACACACATACACAAGCAATGCAACCGTTACACACAATGCATTCCTTACACACACAGAAACACACAATGCATTCATTACACACACTCAATGCATCCCATACATACACAGAAACACACCTTGCAGCCCTTACATACAAACACAATTTCACACAATGCATTCCTTACACACATATCAGGACATCCCCTACACATTCCACCCCCTGTGAACAAACTCATTGGTGGAACATGAAGGTGGACCCTGGGACCCAGACCATGAGATGTGTAAAGGGCTCCCAAAAAATGGAGCTGCTTTCCGTTCTCCCAGAACATTGATTTTTGTGACCACAGTTACAAACAGCCTCCAGAGAGCCTGTTCTACACCAGACCAGTGGAACCAGACTGCAGCTAGAGCCCATCATCATCCTCATCTGGTTGTAAGTAGGCAATCTAGTATATTATTTGTGGCACTAATCTCTAATATACCTCACATTAAAGAAACACTATAGTCCCAAGAACCACTGCAGCTTAATGTAGTGGTTCACCGAATTGTCCTCAACTGTCCCTGCAGGCCTTTTAATGTAAACACGGCGGCACTGCAGCACTGGCGTTAGTTAACATGGCAAATCATATGGGTGGGGCATTGTGATGTCACATGGGGGGGCGGCAAACTTTACTTTTGCCTAGGGCGGCAAAAATCCTTGCACCAGCCCTGGCTGGGGGCTGTGTGAGCTGTGGCCGCACAGTGTCCCATGGTAGTTAGGGTGCCGTGCGGCCAGTACAGCTCACACAAGCAAACAGCTGATAAACTGGCCGCATGGAGGAAATGTGTATGTGTGACTGTCTGCCTGTGACTGTGTGTGACTGTCTGCCTGTAACTGAGTGTGTGACTGTCTGTCTGTAACTGAGTGTGTGACTGTCTGCCTGTAAATGTGTGTGTGGGGCTGCAGGGATTTTTGTAGAAGGGGGCGGGGGTTTTGTATTGGGACAGGAGTCTTTATAAGGGGGGATAAGCAGGGGATTTGTGGAAGGGGGTTGCGGGGGTTTTGTAGATGGGGCAGTACAGGATTTGTAGAAGGGGCAGGACAGAGGTTTGTAGGAGGGGCAGGGCAGGACAAGGGTTTTGTAGGAGGGCTGACAGCGGTTTTGCAAAGTTTACAAATTGTAAAAAGAAATAAAACCTTTAACATTTTTTACAGGTTTTTTTTTAGGGGGGGGGGGGGGGGGGTGCCAAGCACAGGATCCGCCCCGGGTGCCAAATGCTCTAGGTACGCCCCTGTGTAGAACGCATAACACAGCTTTTCACCTGGCTTAAAGAATCTCATTGGAACACGACATAGCTCAACCTGTGTCACAAAATTTCTCCTAAGTTTTGCTTATTTTTGCCACCTTAAACTTAAACTATCTCATACACCATTAATTATATATTTTACAGGCATTCAACAACACATGATAACCTATGGCCAAAACTACCATAAACTTCATGCTATCATACCAGAAAAGAATATACTCAGAGGTTTTCAGGAATCCATTCCCCCACGTTCCTCTCAGAGATTACCAATAGCCATCCAACTGTTCATCCTTATCGGACCTATTAGATCTACAACCATTCAATTATACTACCAAGTCGGCCATTACCAGCCATGCACATTGCCTTTTATGCCTTTCTCAGGCCAGAGAATCCACTACCATCACCACCACTCAGACAGATCATTGTCTTCAACGATCCCACGTACGTAAACACATATATCATTACCTATTGGCTCTACCACATTCCGAAATGAGTCAACATGCACCAACAGTAGAGATAACATACTATCCTACCCACAACAAATGGTGCCCACTTTCGGTCCTAGATTCCTACCTTCAAAATCCTTTCAGGAATTAAATACTGTAATGCATTTAAGGAAATGTCTGGTTAATTTGTATATATTTGTTGACTGTATTAAATCTTTGATTATTCATTTTTGCCCTCTTTATTTACAGGCCTACCGTATCGTCGGTATCGGCACACCACAACCGACTTGCTCCCTTTACACTATCCTAAGCTTATGCTGGATCCTTACTCCATATACGGCTATTTTGCCCCTTACACAAGTATTAAGGCAGTTTGCCTGTATTTGTGGGAGGGGCTTAAATTAATTCACTCCCCTATATAAGGGACACCCCTTACCTGACTCATATCGCTTGAGGTCAGCATCAGAATGACCCTCCCACCCACTCCTCATTTCAACACTTTCTCTTTTTTCTTTCCATTTACTTTACTTTCTTACTCCTTGGTGGGCCCTCTTTATTTACAGGCCTACCGTATCGTCGGTATCGGCACACCACAACTGACTTGCTCCCTTTACACTATCCTAAGCTTATGCTGGATCCTTACTCCATATACGGCTATTTTGCCCCTTACACAAATATATATATATATATATATATATATATATATAAATATTTTTTTATTTTTTTTAAATCAATGGGCATATTCCATGGGCCTGGGCATGCAGCTCCATCAGCCCCTATGTTAATCCGGCCCTGGGTTTGGATACCCATTACGAAGCATGCAGCTTAATTGTCAAATATATTTTTTCATGTGGAATATTCCTGTTACTGTGTTGTTTTTTTAAAACATATTTTAATTAATTTGTCCCATATCTATAGATAGAAATCCCAGCCTAATAACCTATTAAATAACTGGTGTTCAGAGCAATGAGAGTTGAAGTCATTCTAACAGCTCTGTGATCTAATTTACAGACTCCAGTAGATGTGGTTGCAATATCAGATTTCCTATTTTATTCAGTTTCATGTTCATCTGCAGCTATTCATCTGCAGTGTGATTAATCTATATTAATTACCTTTTGTAAATTAATAATATGCCCTAAGCATAGAAACCTAAATGTTGTCTTACTGTGATGTTACATTTTTCCTCTAAAGACACAGAATGTAAAATTTATTTGCTTATTTTATTTTTTGGTGGATTAGTTGTGGTTTATTTGCACATCCATGAATGTTTTTTTTGCCACCTCTGTCTTGTGGGATGACAAGAAGAGTTATATTATAATGTTTGTTGAGTATGAATTTTATCACATGACAGGAGGCTTCATATTTTGCATAACTTTCTTTACTTTATGCCTCCAGCAGCACAAGTCAATCAATAAACTTTAAACCAATCAGTAACAGGCATCACATTCATATATAAAGCCCTGACAGTCACATGACTTCCTCTTTCTTTGCTGCTTACCAGCCAAGGCACAGGTCAGAGTATTTTGCTCCAAACTGTTTTACTGAATATTGCAATTGTCATTAGTTAATCATTTATTGCTTAACTTTCAGTTTGTTCAAAACTGTTTTTATTAATATTGCTATGGTAACTGTAGTTAGACACCTTATGCTAGACATTTAGTTTTAATCCTAACTGTTTTTTCTGGATACCACTTTAATGAAACTTTATTAATTGACTTTCAGTTTGCTCCAACTGTTTTTATTAATATTGCTATGGTCACTTTAGTTAGATTTTTAATGCTAGACATTCAGTTTTTGCTCCAAACTGTTTCTGGATATGCATGGGCACTTTTGTTAAACTTTATTAGCTTGTCCTGCAATTTTGGCCTAAACGTTTTTCATTATTTTGCACTTGCCTTCCATTTGGATTTGTATAGTGTGATATTCTCCCCCTGTTACCCTTCCCCTGAATTAATCCTGTATTTTCTGCTTTATTAGCCTGTTTTCTGTTGCTGGCACCTTTTCTTTCCTATGCTTTACTCTGGTCTCGCATGGATCGCGGTTTTTTCCCGCGAGCACGCTTTTTATTCATTGGTGCTGGGACTTCAGGGCAGGTCTCTGGGGGTTGGGGATGTCGGGGGGACTCTTTTCCATGCCGGCAGACCGCGATCGTATCCTCGATCGTGGGCCGCACGGCACTTTTGCGCGCGAACGGCGGCCATCTTGAATCTCGCGGCACTCGCGAGATTCACGTCGGCCATGTCGTTTGGCCAGTTCGTGATTCCCACGAACTGGCGGCTAGTTCTGTACTGTTTCATATATTTTTCCTGTGAAATAAAAGTTTTACAAGTACTTTTGAGCTCAATACTGTTCATGGGCATGTGGAATAAGGTTTTATATGTACCTTTCCTGGAAGATTATGAATGGACTGTTCACTGCTGAGCTCTATACTGGCATATTTCATTGGCATGTGAAATAAAAGTTTTATATGTAACTCTGCATGAATATGTAGGACTGATCCCTGCTGTGTGCATCTGCTGACAGTTTGCTCTATTCTGTTCTATACAATTGACATGTTGAATAACAGTTTTATTGTACATCTGGAGGATTATGAATGGACTGTCCCCTGCTGTGGGTATATAGTGGATGCATTACTCTATCTACTGGCAGGGAAATTAAATAGAGCTGATATCTTACTCCGCTCCCTACTCCCACTGGACCTCACAACCATTGGATACACTCCTTCCCCACAGGGATACACCTCCCAGGACACAGTAGTGGAGGCACATAACGGAGTGATTAACAGGGGTGATCCCCCTTACGCTGGGTGACCCCCAAGCGTGGCAGACACCTCTCCAAAGTGACATTGTGGTACAGGGGTGACCCCCCTTACGCTGGGTGACCCCCAAGCGAATCTGGTTCCTGTCCTAGTGACATACATATACTGGGGTGTTCCCCCTACTCTGGGTGAACCCCAAGCGAATATTATTCCGGTACTAGTGACATACATATACTGGGGGAACCCCCACGCCCTAGGGCGGGCTCATTTCCACGGAGTACGATCTGTTACTGTATGCACAGACCGGGTCACACTGAATACATGTATATCGACAGAGCCAGGAAGGAGAGCTCATGGTGCTGCCAATTCTCCACAGTACTATATCCTATAAGGGTGACCCCTTGGATAATTTGGAGGCTACCATACCTCCCCATACACGGGCTACGTCCCGACATTACTGACCGCTCATCCCGGTCTTATTGAGGGTGACCCCCTCCTCAGACCACTCCCAGGAAATCTCTAAGTGGTACTGATTGAAACAATTCTGGGTGACCCCCAGTTGTACGTGGAGGCCCACTAAGTGGCAATAAGTGTACTACCGTACCTGACACCTGTTCGGTACCCCATAGACCGAAAGAGTGTCCCAACATGCCATAAGAGACATTCATACAGGGGTGACCCCCCTATGCTGGGTGAACCCCAAGCGAGTCTTACTCCGGTGCTAGTGGCATAGGTACAAAGGGGTGACCCCTTATCGGACGGGGTGACCCCCCGCACCCTTTCTAGGGCTTCTACCTTCAGAGTACGCTCTGTCATTGTATGCACAGACCAGGGCGCACTAGATGCATGTATTCTGGCACCTCTATGCTTCAACTGGGGTTCCGTACGCCCTTCCCTTAACCGAGAAGGAGAACTCACAGTGCTGCCAAAACTCCACAATTCTAGACCATATAAGGATGAACCCGTGGACTATATATATTGAGGCTTTCACGTCTCTCAGACTCGGGCTACGTCCCGACATTGCAGACCGCTCATCCCGGTCTTACTGAGGGTGTCCTCATTCTCAGACCACTCCCCGGATCCTGCGAAAATGATACTGATTGATCAAAATTCTGGGTGACCCCCAGTTATACGCGGAGGCCTACTGAGTGGCAATAAGTGTACTGTTGTACGATCCTGTCTCCCACGGACCGAAAGGGTGTGAACCAACATGTCGGACTTACCTCAATATCCCCGACCGATTTTCAGGCGAGGATTAAGGCTGCCATGACAGCTCCGGGGGAAGAAGTCCTCTCCAGTATGCTGGCTAACAACCCATCCGACAGAGCGGGTGCAACGGCAGCAACACCAATGGAAGATTGAGATACCGACGTTAGGTCGGACACCCATCATCAGGGGACGAGGACTTCATCCTCCCCCCCCTTCTCTGGAGATCATGAAAGAATGGAGGGCAGAAGAGGTAAAAGTGACAAGACACGCCTAGCAAGAAAGGTTTTTTCTTTGGCACACTGGACACTCCTGTTTTGACTCATGCACCATCCGACAACCAGGGTCATCCGAATGGGGTTAACTGGAGCATCGGGCCCACTTCTGGCTTAGGAGGCCTATGGGAAAAGAAATCCGAGACCGGCTCAGGATGGAATGCCCACGCCCTCTATGTCCGAACAAGATAGTCCTCACTATGGAGCTCGTGGTGATATGTATGTCCCGATCAGTGTGTAGGAGGAGGACTCAAAATGAGTTAAATACTGGATATGATCAGCCCGGGAAAAAATTCTATACTTTGCGGACCTGACCCCACACAAGACTCACCTCTAGAAGCTCACGATGTGAGGGAATGGGTGCAAAGGGCAATATGTAAGTTGGGGAATGCAAGGCAGACAGGTGCACAGAATGCCGCAAAGCAGCCCGATTAAAGATGGATTTCAAACTATTGAAGTTAGGGACGAAAGAGCGAGGACCTCAGGCAGACAGACTATCGTTTGGAGAACCATTTATCTCAGCAACGGTTTGGTAGTAAGGAAGAAGATAGGAGACTATCACCCAGTCATCAACCTATGCCAACCCAATGGTTTTGGGACGTACCGACAACTCAAGAAGGAAGGTATCCATCTCTTAGGGGATCTACAAGGTTGGACTTGAAGGGCACTTACCTATAGGTTCACATGGTGCCTCATGAAGTTTCTGAAGTCGGTCACTGCGCACTGAAAAGCAAAGGGTATCTGCTGTCACATACCTAGACGACTTACCTTTTGCAAATCCAATTCATGACTACGTTTACAAATGAGATTTATGTTTACAGTTTCGGGAATTGTTGGGATTCATAGTGAACAGAGAGGAGTTGGTTCGATCCCAGTTCCGAGTGATTCAGTTCCGCTATTTCAGAATAGATTCCACCTTGGGCGGATTACACCTTCCCACATCATTGATAGCGACGATTCGTAAGGAAATTCGACGGGTACGGCGGAAAGGCACCATAACCCTTTGACTATTTCCCAGGACTGCTTCACTACCAGGCCAGACAGTGGCTGAAAGCTCACTGCCTGAGATACGGACACACCTATGAAATTGGGATCAGAATAGCGAAGACTTCGATAGTACTCATTACTGCGGTAAAGGAGGCAAGCGTGACACCCAGAAGGGTTGTCCTTAATCAGGATCATCCTCTGCTCCTTCCGTTTTAACTTGCCTTCGGGCGGATCCAAAAGGAGAACATCATCCATTGAGAATGCAGGAGCATCTGGAGTTGGTAGATTGGTGTCTTCCAGGGGAGACTGGTATGTCAAGGGACTATCGCAACCAACTAGAGACCTACTATGGGACTCATGAACGCCAGGTATCCCCCCGAAATAACTTATCCGCATGGAACACCTTGAGTTCGCTGGTGTATGGGAAGGGACTGCGATCCCTTTATTACCCCTATCTCCACGATGCTGGATCTTTATCATACCTTTTCACTACAGGCCGATCGGAACGTTCCATTAACGGGCTACGTCCCGCGATTTCGACGATGCATAGCACGATTCACGACACTCCGGTCAATCAAGAGCCTTTGATATGCCATTTTCTGTGGGGTATCAAACCGTCCAGAACCATGCGTCAAAGTATCACTGGTGTGGGACTTTGATTTGGTTCTTTTGGAGCTAGTCAGATATCACGGTCCTATCCCTCAGTCAGCCATTAGCCAGAGTCACGTTACTTTTAGGTCTTTTCGTCGGGTATCAGATGTACTGGAGTTCGACGTAGACGGTCTTTTCGGTATCACCGGAAAGAATAATTTCTACAGTGTCTCGTAGAACTATATCTTATCCGTGTCCGTATCGTTCCCTGTTACCGACGGTTTCCCAGCCTTTGTGCAGTTAAAGGGGTACTTTGTTACATGGAGATCACGACAACACTTAGAATGTCACATTCAGGACATCTGCTGGTCTTATACCAACCGTACAAGCCAGTTACCATGAACACTCTCTCTAGATGGGTTCATTGGTTGTTATCGCTAGCGAGGGTGGAGACGTGTTTGGGTACTCATTCGGTAAGAGGCGCAGCTGCTTCTCAGGCCTTCACGAGGGGGCCTCTATATTTTCAGCGACGAATTGGACACGGATAGACTACTTCCGTATATTTATTTTCGTCAACCACACACGCATCCTTCACGCTCATACCACAGCTTTAAAAATGCAAAATATGAAGCCTCCTGTCATGTGATAAAATTGTAGATTATGCTAACGTAGTGTACCTATAATCTTAATTTTAATAATGACAGGAGGCGAGTATTTTCCCTCCCTATACTCTGGAAATTTTTTATATTTTGGTTTGTCATTTTCTCAGTGTAAATTATAAGGTTTGGTAATTCAGTATATTTATGGGATGCTTATTTGGTTGATATGTGTTAGATCCGTGTTGATTATTAAGTATACTATGGTTTGTTTAATGTTTCAGTATATTAACTTAATATAAATATAGACACATATAGTACTGGATTTAATGTGGACAACAGTTGGTTTCCATCACCTTTCACGTATTTCTGTTCTTTTCAGCGTAATCATCATAGATGGATTCGACAAGATAAAGCTGGAAGGTTTCAAGTTATGTTCTACACGTTACTCAGGACTGTTATTTGAATTCCCTGACGTTATAATAGACTGTTTTTCGCATCAAAGAAAGAGGAAGTCATGTGACTGTCAGGGCTTTATATATGAATGTGATGCCTGTTACTGATTGGTTTAAAGTTTATTGATTGACTTGTGCTGCTGGAGGCATAAAGTAAAGAAAGTTATGCAAAATACTCGCCTCCTGTCATTATTAAAATTAAGATTATAGGTACACTACGTTAGCATAATCTACAATTCTATGTTTTGTAATGAATTGGTGTGTTGTGTCCATTGTATAGGAGTTCAAATAGTAAAGTGATGAATATTTGCATGTCATTAACGCAAGCCTTTAGTGTTTTTAAAACAGGTCAAATGCTGTTCAGCTGGCAAAAGTGAAATCTTGCATGCCACCACTCTTGGAGATTATTTGATAATATGAGACTATGCAAGAATAGCGCTTGTTACATCTTATGTAAAGGGGGCCCCACAAAATGATACTAATCAAATCCAGATTCACATCTTCCATTGCACAGTGCCTTGTCTGACCCTTATGCTAGATTAAGGGAATATTATTTTGTACCAGGCTAGTCATTGTTTTTAATTATCAGTACTGCATTTTTAATACCAAAATATCATGCTAACCTTATTAATTGTCCCAACATTTTTTTGGCAGTTTGTGTTTTATTTATCCAAAACATCTATACTCCTTGACACACAGGAGTCAGTAGCAGATTAATAGCCCTGCCCTCTTAAGTGATAGATAATGATTTTATTAATCCACCACAGACCTATATATACTGTTGTATAACAGCCCGGTTATGGTACCCTGGAATCATGGGCTCCCTGTTTGGCTCCACCTTTTCCTCAGTATGTGGATGACTACCAAAGTCATCCAAATAAAACATTTCCATCTGTATTGCTCTAAAGGTGGGGTTACTGTAGCTGGAGTCCCTTAACACAGGGTATCGAGAAAAAAAAAAAAAAAGATGGGGGAGTATGATGGGTTTATCCAAAAATAAGGTTCATGAAGTGTGCCACAATGGTCATAGGTGCAATGGTGAAATTGTATATTTATAGAGAAAAAATGCAACTGAAATTATTACATTTATAAAAAACACTTAGAATCTGTGAAATGATGATATTATATGGGTATCTTATTAGAAGATGTTTCAGCAAAATGACCCAAAAGAGGATAGCAATACATAAATAATAAGAATGAAAACTGAGGACAACTAAAATAAATAATATACTCATTTAACAATGGAGGGAGTGTGTTGTTTAGGTAATTTCTCCCTAGCAATGTTTATCACTGTGGACTAAGGTCAGAAGTTGTGTTAAAGGACCACTCTAGGCACCCAGACCACTTCAGCTTAATGAAGTGGTCTGGGTGCCTGGTCCAGCTAGGGTTAACCCATTTTTTCATTAACATAGCAGTTTCAGAGAAACTGCTATGTTTATGAATGGGTTAAGCCTTCCTCTATTTCCTCTAGTGGCTGTCTTATTGACAGCCACTAGAGGCGCTTGCGTGCTTCTCACTGTGATTTTCACAGTGAGAGCACGCCAGCGTCCATAGGAAAGCATTATGAATGCTTTCCTATGTCACCGGCTGAATGCGCGCGCAGCTCTTGCCGCGCGTGCGCATTCAGCCAACGGGGAGGATCGGAGGAGGAGAGCTCCCCGCCCAGCGCTGGAAAAAGGTAAGTTTAAACCCCTTTCCTCTCCCCAGAGCCGGGTGGGAGGGGGTCCCTGAGGGTGGGGGCACCCTCAGGGCACTATAGTGCCAGGAAAACGAGTATGTTTTCCTGGCACTATAGTGGTCCTTTAAGCAGTGCATATGTTCTGTAGTTATGAAAAAGATATAGTAAAGCCCTTAGGCCCTGTTAGACAATACCTAGCCTTAATCTTATAGTTAGTAAGCAGGGCTTAAATGGTTGTGGATCTCGGCCCCCGGCCCCCACCCCTTTAGGGCCCCCACCTGCCACGCAAGGGTGGGGGCCGGGGGGAGGTCAGTAGGTCCCCCCCACATTCTTATTTAGGGCCTCCACCAACCGCTCAGGGGTGGGGGCCAGGCGGAGAGTAGGTTTTTTTTTTTTTAACAGTGAGCAGCCACAGGCTGCTCACTGTTTAGTAGACATGCCCCTACTCGCGGTATAGCGAGTAGGAGCATTCAGGAGATTTTAATCTCCCTTATGCTATTATGGGAGTCATATTGACCACCATAGAGTGAGGGAGGACATGGGGGGCTTAGGAAGTGGCGGGAAGCACTGCTCCCTGCCGCTTCTAGCTTTACATATTACAAGGAGGGAGCTGTGCGCCGGTAGCTCCCTCCTTGTAATAAATATTCAGTGTTTGTTTGTTCGTGTGAAATCTCTAGTCATTCATTCGTCTTTCTGACGAATGAATAGATGAAATTCCCGTTCGCATGCCCAAATGTTTAACTGGGCATGTGCGGGAATCTCACAGTCTGTCTAGTGTGGGCAGATGACGTGTCCCACAGGGACTTCATCTACCCACACAAAGATGGCCGCGCCCTGAATATAGATCGGGGCAGAAAATATGGAATAAAATAGGTAATATTGGGGGCTTAGGGGCATTTGGGGGTGACTAGGGGTCGGGAGGGGGTTAAAAAAACTGGATTCGGCCATGACAGTGCCGCTTTAAGTAGACAAATGGCAACTAAAAGAATTGTAGGTTTTTCAAAGAAAATTGGAGAGCAACTAAAAAAAGAAAAGAAAACAGCCCTCTATTTTTCACTCGATGAGTGTTTCCAGCTTAGAAAGGTCATTAAAAACGTTGAAATGAAGGAAGAATTTCTAGAATTTCTGTCAACACTAAAGATCACACTCAAGGCTGTTATGTACTCAAAGCAACAAGTAAAGAACTTTAAGTTATGTCTTCATATCTGCATATGATGCCTGGAGCTGCATTATGACACCACTCCGGCTCTAGTATCACTAAACAGTGTGCGAGAGAGCAGAGCAAGAAGAGCTTGAAGACTACAGCATCTACACTGGACCCTAGGGAAAGGATCTTCTCCAGCAATCCCAAAGAAAAGGAGGCTGGGTGGACATTAATTAAAAAAATAATAATTTGTAAGTGTACCAGATAATCTGTGTAAGTGTGTCAGTATCAGTTTGTGTGTGTCTGTCTGTCAGTGAGTGTTTGAGTGTGCATGTGTCTTAGTAAGTGTGTGTCTGTCTGTGAGTATGTGTGTCTGTGAGTGTGCATGCGTCTCATTGTATGTCAAATCAGTCAGTGTGTGTGTTTCAGTGAGTGTGCGTCTGTCTGCCAGTGTGTGGGTTTTTGTTGTTATGTCAGTGTGTCTGTCTGTTAGTGAGTGTGTGATTGCATGGGAAAGGTGTTTTTACTCAACCTTTTTCTTATGCCCTCTCTGCTGCTGGCCCGGAG